TGCAAAATTTCAAGAACAAAAGCCTAGCATATGCAAAATAGAAAGAGCAAGGGCCTAACGTGTGCAAAATAGCAAGAACAAGGGCCTAGCGTGTGCAAAATTGCAAGAACCAGGGCCTAGCGTGTGCAAAATTGCATGATCAAGGGCCTAGCATTTGCAAATTTGCGTGAACAAGGGCCTAGCGTGTAAAAAATAGCAAGAACAAGGGCCTAGCAAGTGCAAATTTGCAAGAGCAAGGGTCTAGAGAGTGCAAAATTGCAAGTACAAGGGCCTAGCATGTGCAGAATTGCAAGAACAAGGGCCTAGCGTATGCAAAATAGCAAGAACAAGAGCCTAGCGTGTGCAAAATTGCAAAAATCAGGGCCTAGCGTCTGCAAAAGAGCAAGAACAAGGGCCTAGCGTATGCAAAAATGCAAGAACAAGGGCTCAGCGTGTGCAAAGTTGCAAGAACAAGGTTCTAGCGTGTGAAAAATAACCAGAACAAAGGCTTAGCGAGGCCAAAATTGCAAGAACAAGGGCCTAGAGAGTGCAAAATTGTAAGAACAAGGGCCTATCGTGTGCAAAATAGCAAGAACAAGGGCCTAGTGTGTGAAAAAATGGAAGAACCAGGGCCTAGCGTGTTCAGAATTGCAAGAACAAGGGCCTAGCGTGTGCAAAATTGCAAGAACAAGGGCCTAGCGTGTGAATAATAGCAAGAACAAGGGCCTAGCGTGTGTCAAATTGCAAGAACAAAGGCCTAACGAGTGCAAAATTGCAAGAGCGAGGACCTAGCGTGTGAAAAATAGCAAGAACAGGGGCCTCGCGAGTGCAAAATTGCAAGAACAACGGCCCAGCGTGTGCCAAACTGCAAGAACAAGGGCCTAGCATGTGCAAAATAGCAAGAACAAGGGCGTAGTGTATGCAAAATTTCAAGAACAAGGGCCTAGCATGTGCAGAATTGCAAAAACAAGGGCCTAGCGTGTGCAAAATTGCATGAACAAGGGCATAGCGTGTGCGAAATTTCAAGAACAAGGGCCTAGCGTGTGCAAAATTGCATGAACAAGGGCCTAGCGTGTGAAAAATTGCAAGAACAAGGGCCTAGTGTGTGCAAAATAGCAAGAACAAGGGTTGAGTGTGTGCAAAATTACAACAACAAAGGCCTAGCGATTGCAAAATTGCAAGTACAAGGGCCTAGCTATTGCAAAAGTGCAAGAACAAGGGCCTAGCGAGTGCAAAATTGTAAGAACAAGGGCCTAGTGAGTGCAAAACTGCAAGAACAAGGGCCTAGCCTGTGAAAAATAGCAAGAACAAGGGCCTAGCGAGTGCAAAATTGCAAGTAGAAGGGCCTAGCGTGTGCTAAACTGCAAGAACAAGGGCCTAGCATGTGCAAAATTGCAAGAACAAAGGCCTAGCGATTGCAAAAGTGCAAGAACAAGGACGTAGCGAGTGCAAAAGTGCAAAATTAAGGGCCTAGCGAGTGCAAAATAGCAAGAACAACAGCCCAGCGAGTGAAGAATTGCAAGAACAAGGGAGTAGCGTGTGCCAATTTGCAAGAACAAAGGCCTAGCGTGAGCAAAATTGCAAGAACAAGGGCATAGCGTGTGCGAAATTTCAAGAACAAGGGCCTAGCGTGTGCAAACTTGCGTGAACAAGGGCCTAGCGTGTGCAAAATTGCAAGAAAAAGGGCCTAGTGTGTGCAAAATAGCAAGAACAAGGGCTGAGTGTGTGCAAAATTGCAAGAACAAGGGCCTAGCGATTGAAAAATTGCAAGTACAAGGGCCTAGCGATTGCAAAAGTGCAAGAACAAGGGCCTAGCAAGTGCAAAATTCTAAGAACAAGGGCCTAGTGAGTGCAAAACTGCAAGAACAAGGGCCTAGCCTGTGAAAAATAGCAAGTACAAGGGCCTAGCGTGTGCTAAAGTGCAAGAACAAGGACGTAGCCAGTGCAAAAGTGCAAGAAAAAGGGCCTAGCGAGTGCAAAATAGCAAGAAGAACAGCCCAGCGAGTGAAGAATTGCAAGAACAAGGGAGTAGCGTGTGCCAAATTGCAAGAACAAAGGCCTAGCGTGAGCAAAATTGCAAGAACAAGGGCCTAGCGATTGCAAAATTGCAAGTACAAGGGTCCAGCGAGTGCAAAATTGCAAGAACAAGGGCCTAGCGAGTGCAAAATTGCAAGAACAAGGGCCTAGCGTGTGCAAAATTTCAAGAACAAGGGCCTAGCGTATGCAAAATAGCAAGAACAAGGGCCTAGCGTGTGCAAAATAGCGAGAACAAGGGCCTAGCGTGTGCAAAATTGCAAGAACCAGGGCCTAGCGTGTGCAAAATTGCAAGAGCAATGGCCTAGCGTGTGCAAAAGTGCAAGAACAAGGGCCTAGTGTGTGCAAAATTTCAAGAACAAGGGCCTAGCGTGTGCAAAATTGCATGAACAAAAGCCTAGCGTGTGAAAAATAGCAAGAAGAAGGACCTAACGAGTGCAAAAATGCAAGAACAAGGGCCTAGCTTGTGCAAAATTGTAAGAACAAGGGCCTAGCGAGTGCAAAATTGCAAGAACAAGGGCCTAGTGTGTGCCAAACTGCAAGAACAAGGGCCTAGCATGTGCAAAATTGCAAGAACAAGATCCTAGCGTGTGCAAAATTGCAAAAACAAGGGCCTAGCGTGTGCGAAAATGCAAGAACAAGGGCCTAGCATGGGCAAAATTGCAAGAACAAGGTCCTAGCGTGTGCAAAATAGCAAGAACAACGGCCTAGCGAGTGAAGAATTGCAAGAACAAGGGCCTAGCGTGTGCCAAATTGCAAGAACAAGGGCCTAGCGATTGCAAAATTGCAAGTACAAGGGCCCAGCGAGTGCAAAATGGCAAAAACAAGGGCCTAGCTTGAGCAAAATTGCAAGAACAAGGGCCTAGTGTATGCAAAATAGCAAGAACAAGGGCCTAGCGTGTGCAAAATAGCAAGATCAAGGGCGTATCGTGTGCAAAATTGCAAGAACGAGGGCCTAGCGTGTGCAAAATTGCGTGAACAAGGGCCTAGCATGTGAAAAATAGCAAGAAGAAAAGCCTGGCGAGTGCAAAATTGCAAGAACAAGGGCCTAGTGATCGCAAAAGTGCAAGGAGACGGACCTAGCGAGTGCACTAATTTGGTTTACTATGTGTACTTGTCTCCCTGTTCCGCAGACGTGGCTGAGCAGTGCAAGGATTTTTTGCGGTACGTACGTGACGCCCGGAATGAATACGACATTGACAACCGCTACATCATCAACGCCGACCAGACACCGCTGTGGTTGGAGATGCCGGCGACGACCACCGTGGAGCAGACGGGCGTGAGGTCGGTGCCCATCCGCAGCGGTGGGTACTAGAAGGAGAGAGTGACCGTCATGCTTGCGTGCACGGCGACGGGCGAGAAGCTGAAGCGTTGGGTGTTTTTCAAGCGCAAGACACTCCCCAAGGGTGACTTCCCGAACGGTAAGGGATCATCGCGCGTGTTTATTTAACGTTACTACTAGAGTCGTCACCCGTTCTTTTTCCTTGCGTGCAGATATTGTGGTCGGCTGCCAAGCGAACGGGTAGATGGAGGCCGCTGGCGTCATCGAGTGGCTCAACACGGGCGTGATGCGGTTCTTGAAGCCGAAATTCGGCCTGCAGAGTCGTAGCGCCATGCTGGTGCTCGACTCCTATCGCGGTCACCTGACACCAGAAGTCAAGGAGAGATTCGCGGCGCTCAATATGGTGCCTGCGATCATTCCGGCCGGATGCACAGCAGACTTGCAGCCCCTCGATGTGTCGATCAACAAGAGCTTCAAAGCAAGCATTCGTCAGGAGTCCCAGAATTGGTTTGAGGAGGACGGCATGAACATCCTGACCCCGGCAGGTGAGTGACGACACGTGCTCCCGTCTGCAAATCTTGAGCTTGTATGCCTGTTTACTTGTCTCATGTTTTCCCCGCCCCACTCTGTGTGATGCAGGGAACATCAAGAAACCACCTTCGGAGGTGGTGCTCAAGTGGATTTCACGGGCGTGGAAGACGGTGCCCGCCGACCTCATCAAGAAAGCCTTCCTCACGTGCGGCATCAGCAACGCCCTTGATGGGAGCGAAGACAAACTGGTGCTGGCGCACCGGAGAGGCCAGTTGTCCCATGAGGTGGAGGTGGACGACGACATCCAGGCAGATGGGTTCTGGGGCAACAACTCCTCGGAGCCCGAGTCGGACGAGGAGGAAGAATAGGTAGTAGGGTAGACTTGGCAGGTTGAAAGGTGTGTAGTGCAGGACAGCAGAGACCACCCTTTTATGTGATTGTCTAAGTTAATGGAAAGTTTAGAACATGCAGGCTAGGTAAGTTTTTTTTTTAATGATTTTTTTAACTAAAAGGGTGCGCTTATAATTAGTTACGATTTTCCAATGGGTGCGCTTATAATTGAGGATCGGCCATAAGCGCATTGCTCCAGATACAAGCGCATGCGCTTAACATAGGCCTGCGCTTATATCCGGGGCCATACGGTATTCACTCCAAATCACTTTTGTGTGAGATGTGTGAGGAGAGCTTTGAGAATGATACAATCTTGGAAAGCATCTAAGACATCGTAGCAGCAGTAAACAAGAAAGAACATAACGGATATGAAGTTCCTTGTAAGCCTGATCATGGGTGGAACGCCTCGGTGAAGATAGGTGGGTCATTGATTGATTCGTCGCCGTTGGTCCGACGTGCAGACAGACAGTGAGGTAGACTCACGGAGCGACAGCGTGTCGCCTGGGTGGCTTGTCGAGAGCAAACTTCTATCTTTGACACGAAATCGAGTGTTTTCGCGAGTACTTCCATAAAGCAGACACCCAGACGGTTAGAAGGACGGCTGGAAGATACGAACAGACACCATTGCGAAAAGCCAGACGTACGGAGATAGAGAATTTGGCAAAGGGGTGGACAGACGGACACACGAACGGACGGACGGACGGATTGACGGACGAGCGGACGGAGGGACGGGCAGCAGCAAGTGCGGAACGCGTGGAAAAGTAGGAAGCAATTGTGGGACGGCATGGAGCCGGATGGGAGCATCGAGTCGGCGTCGGTGATCCGCGTGGTGGTGCTGCAGGTGGGCGAAATCACCGCGTCCGCCTTCCGCACCTACTCCAGCCTCATCATGAAACACAGGTGCGCTCCGCCGTTCTGCACCTCCTCCAGCCTCATCATGAAACACAGGTGCGCTCCGCCGTTCCGCACCTCCTCCAGCCTTATAACGAAGCACAGTTGCGGTAACGTGTTGTGCTGCAACGCGACAGTACCTCGGTGCTTGGGGTTACTAGCAGGTCAAGGTCGACTATGGGGAAGTGGCAATGCCTCAAGCATGGACCTCGTCTCTTGCACTCTCGCCCTCCCTGCACGCCCGTGCCTCACTGACCTTCCCCCTTACCCTCCCCCTGTGCGCCGCCCTCCAGAGTGATGCCGCTGCAGGGCGTGTTCGGATACTACAAGGAGCACCAGAAGAGCCCGTTCTCGCACCAGGTGAATGACACGCCATGCCCTCTCCTCGCACCAGGTGAGTGAGACGCCATGCCCTCTTCTCGCTGTAGGTGGTGTATATGCCTCGCTCGCTCTACTGCCCCTCCTGTTTAACTTATCTTCCCTGAGCCTCAGCGGAACCCTGAAGCTCCTATTTTCTCCTGCCGTCCCCTTTCAGCTCTCCCACGCCTCCCTCCCCTCCTCTGCGCCCTCTCCCCGCACGCACCTCCCTCACAGCCGTGGACGACAGGGTCGCTGCGCTTCAACTTCATTCTGGGCGGCAGCAGCCGCAGCCCCTGGCAGGAGTTCGTGGCGCAGCGCAAGGTGGGGCAGGGGGCAACGGGGGGAATTGTGGCGCAAGGAAGGTACGGGAGGGCTGTGAGCGTATTTGTCACGCAGAGGAAGGTGGGGGTGGGGGAAAACTAGGTGCCTGTGGCACAGAGGAAGGCAGAGAATGGGGTACAAATACTATGAGCGGGAAGGGACAATGAGCTCCTCCTCCTCCTTCTTCCCCCTTCCCGCCTGTCTTCCCCTCTTCCCCCCCACTTGCTCCTTTCGCCTCTGCAGATTCACGGGGTGATAGGGGTGTGCCACTGCCCACGCATGCCAGACACGGCAGCAGCGTACGAGGAGTTTGTGCTGGCGTGCAAGGCGTACCCCCTCGCGCAGGTCAAGCGCTGCATCGCCTTCGACCCCAACACAGAGCAGGTATGCGGCATGCCGCGAGCGGGCCATGCATGTGTGTCTGCTCTGCTGCAGTGTTTCTCCATGCTGCGTGCAGTGCAGTGCAGGCAGACCATTTTCTCTAAGCCGCAGATGCATGCCGCCCCGTGCTGACTCCCAGCGGGCAGAGGAGGCTCGCCAGCGACGACATGGTAATTTCCTCCTTGTACGCTATATTCCCCACTCCTCTCCCCTCTTCCCTCTTTTCCTCTCCAGCGAGAAAGGAAGGATATGCAGCAGCACAACCTGTTCATCCTCCCGGACCGCTCATATATAGTCCCGCCCTTTTTCCCCGTTGCCAGCTGGCAGAGGAGGACCCGCAGCGGCGCAACCTGGTGATTCTGTCGGGGGCGGATCAGCAGCGGCTGGAGGCGCTGCTGGTGTCGGTGATGCATGACTTTGCAGCGTGTGTGCTCATGGCGCTTGAGAGCTGGGTGCTGCATGTTGATCCCATTGCCGCTATCTTCCTCTCCCCGCTTGACAACCCCAACGTCACACCCAATGAGGATGTGAGTGTGTGTGTTCTAGTGTGGCAAGCTACAAGGGTGCGAGAGGGTGTGATTGGATGTGAGTGGGTGTGGGTGGGTGTGAGGCATCTAAGGGCGTGACTTGGAGGCGCTGCTGGTGCCAGTGATGCACGAAATGCTGCCTGTGTGTGAATGGCGCTCGAGGGCTGGGTGAGCTGGAGGGCTGAGGCTACTGCCTGCTGGCAGGCTCGCCTCTGGGCGTGCGCAGCCACCACGAGAGTTCAGTGACTTGGTATACTTCGCTGCCCTCTGCTGCTGCCCTCCCTGCTGCTCTTCCTTCCACTCTCCCTGCTTCTCCCCCTACTTCTCCGCCTGCTACTCCCCCCGCTGCCCCCTCCGCTGCCTGCTGGCCGACTCGCCTCTGGACGCTCGCAGCCACTACAAAGATCACCCAGAGTAACGCAATTGATCCTTCTTACTATGAATGACCCCCCCTGTCCAGGCGGCACGGCTGAAGAAGAAGCGGCTTGCGCGCATTCAGAAGGCCATCGGCGACTACTGCCTGCTGGCGGGCTCGCCCCTGGATGCACGCAGCCACTACGGCACGGCCATCGAGCTCGGGCGCCTCACCAACAGCACCGACCCCCTCTGGCTTGCCGGGGCTTTAGAGGGGCACGTCAGCACTCTGGCCGTGAGCTGGGATTAGAGGGAGGGTTGGCTGTGGTGTGATGCGACAACGGGAAGAGGAGAACGGGGAAGGAGAGTGAGGGAAGGCCTACGGGTGCGATGGATGGGTTCTGCAAGGGTGAAACGAATTGCGCCGGTGCTTGCTCTGGGCTCGATTGGAGATGCTATGTGCGGTGTGATATGCTGTGCTGTGAGCAGGTGGAGAAGGGGCGGTGGGACGAGGAGTTGGAGGAGGAGATTCGAACCAAGTACAGCGAGATCGTGCCACTCTACCGCAAGTGAGCTCACTTCATCTTCGTTCGTTTTTCTTCTGCAGGATGAGAGTTGCGTTTAGTCGAGCGAAATTATACTGCTCTTCTGCAAGTGAGTGTATGGAGAGGCACTAAAGACCAGGTGAGTGCACTGAGAGGCACCGTGCAAATGGTGTACGAGTTGACACATCAAATGAGAAGAGTTGAGAGGCTTTGTGTCACCCCTGGTGTGAGTGTGTGTCAAGGCTTTAACCTACTGCCTTCTCTTCTTTGTTCTCCTTTCAGGGCGGGTGCAATGATCTTTGAGCTCGAAGCTCTCATCAAGGTCGCCAGGTTTATCTGCCGGTCAGTACAGTACAGCTCTGACACTAACAGTGATACCTATCGCTTGTGATTGCACTGCCATCCTCGTCGCTTTGCTAGTACAATGGCTGGCAGGGGAGGAACCGCAACGTAACCCCCCCTCCCTATCCCCCTCCTCTCTTTTGTCTCCTTTCTCCCTCTCCCTCCACGACACCTCTTCTCTTGTCACCTCTCCACTCTCTCCCCCGTGGGTGTGCATGGCAGCAAGGAGATGGCACGCGACGTGGTGGATTTACTGGCACAGGCGGTGGAGACGGGGCGAGGGCTGCAGAACCCCAGCGACCTCCTCGTGCTCTACATTGAGGTGCGCCGCTCGAACCAGCCACCCACTCACTCACCCATACACCTGCCTACTCATGATACATCCACCCACCTTTGATTCACCCACCTATTTCGCCTCCCACCCACGCACGCACAAACATGCGTGCATGCGGGCTACCTTCTCCTCCACATGTCACAATCGTGCTTTACTCCCCCCCACCCGGCCCACGTGCAGGTGGCGCGCATTTTCCAGCAGCTGGGCTACGAGCGCAAGGCGGCATTCTTCACGCGGCAGGTGGCCAAGCTGTACGAGCAGCAGGAGTCGCGCTTCGCCGCTGTCAGCGCACTGCAGGTCAGTCAGTGCGCCGTTCAGTGCACCGTTCAGTGCACCTTCCCCTGTGTCTCTCATCAGTGCATAGGCTTCACGCGGCAGGTGGCTAAGCTGTACGAGCAACAGGAGTCGCGCTTCGCCGCTGTCAGCGCACTGCAGGTCAGTCAGTGCACCGTTCAGTGCACCGTTCAGTGCACCTTCCCCTGTGTCTCTCATCAGTGCATAGGCTTCACGCGGCAGGTGGCTAAGCTGTACAAGCAGCAGGAGTCGCGCTTCGCCGCTGTCAGCGCACTGCAGGTCAGTGCAACCAGGTGGTTGACTCAGAAGGTGCAACCAGGTGGTTGACTCAGAAGGTGCAACCAGGTGGTTGACTCAGAAGGTGCAACCAGGTGGTTGACTCAGAAGGTGCAACCAGGTGGTTGACTCAGAAGGTGCAACCAGGTGGTTGACTCAGAAGGTGCAACCAGGTGGTTGACTCAGAAGGTGCAACCAGGTGGTTGACTCAGAAGGTGCAACCAGGTGGTTGACTCAGAAGGTGCAACCAGGTGGTTGACTCAGAAGGTGCAACCAGGTGGTTGACTCAGAAGGTGCAACCAGGTGGTTGACTCAGAAGGTGCAACCAGGTGGTTGACTCAGAAGGTGCAACCAGGTGGTTGACTCAGAAGGTGCAACCAGGTGGTTGACTCAGAAGGTGCAACCAGGTGGTTGACTCAGAAGGTGCAACCAGGTGGTTGACTCAGAAGGTGCAACCAGGTGGTTGACTCAGAAGGTGCAACCAGGTGGTTGACTCAGAAGGTGCAACCAGGTGGTTGACTCAGAAGGTGCAACCAGGTGGTTGACTCAGAAGGTGCAACCAGGTGGTTGACTCAGAAGGTGCAACCAGGTGGTTGACTCAGAAGGTGCAACCAGGTGGCTTTTGAGTCGACTCAGAAGGCAGCAGGAGTCTCGCTTCGCTGCCGTCAGCGCGCTGCAGGTCAATCCAGCCTCTCTCCCCCCTTGTGACCCGCATGTCAAGATGCAGAACATGAGGTTTGTTGCACCTCACTGCTCCCCCTGTGCCATCAGAACACAGTACACCCGCCCGCTGTGCTCACTTCATTGCTCTCTCTTCATTGCCTCTTCGTGCGACAAGATGCAGTCACTTGGATGACTATTGAGACGACTCATAAGTGAAAAGTACTCTCATTATGAGTGCCCCCTCCCATGCAGGTGCTCGCGCTGGCGTCCACGTCCTACAAGGTGCAGTCGCTCGCGCTCTCCCCCGTGCCCTCTCCGGCCCTCCCTGTCGACAATCCCCGTGCAACCTCAGCAGGATCAGCAGCAGGGGGCGGAGGCGGAGGAGGAGGAACAGGAGCAGGAGGTGTGGGGGGGAAAGGTGGGGGGAAGAGCAGCAGGGCGGGGGTGACGGCGTTGGAGAGCAGTGCACCGCCGCTGGGAGGGGGGCAGTGGAGCCGCCTGCAGATGGAGCTGCTCAGTGACATGCTCGCCGTTGCTGTGCGTGCTGGTGAACCGCTGGCTGCCTGGGCTGCTGCTGCTCGCCTGCTGCGCGGATTCTACCCTCTCATCCTGCCGCAGAGCCAGGTGGGTGGCACTACCTTGCCTGCCACGTGTTGAGCAGTGACAGCTTCCCGTATTCTGTCTCTTCATCCTTGCAATCACCTCGCCCTTGCCACTCCCTTGTCTCTCCCTGGCTCTCACCACGTCCTCTTGACCACCTGTCCCCTTCCTCCATGCACCTTCTTCCCTCTCACCAGGAATCGTTGGCCCAAGCGCTCACATCGGCCAGTGAGAGGCTGCCAGCTGGCACTCGCTGCCCAGACCTTGCTCTTCCCTTTGTCAGGTAGTGCTGGGGAGGTTGGCGGTGAAAAGTCAAACTCCCTTGAGGGAAGCTGGATTCTTGAGAGCTCCTTTGTTTCTGAGTCATCTGATTGCTTATCCCCGTGATTTGGTTTGATGTGTCCTCTGGCTTTTGAACCACCCTTCTTGTGCCCCCAACCCACCCTGCACTTCTGCCCTTTGTTCCTTCCATCCGCCCTCTGCCCTCACATTATCCCTCCATCCTCCCCCCCCACCAGGTTCCATGCGTTCGCAACAGCCCCCCAGCAGACCCAAGTCGTGAAGCGCACGCGAGGCAAGCGCGACTGGTGGGTGGGGGCAGGCGGGGGGGGGGCCATTCATCTACACGCCGTTCACCACGCGGGCGGCCAACGTGAAGCCCGACATGGTGTGGATCGTGGGCGAGGTGGCTCAAGTCATCATCGAGCTCTCCAACCCCTGCGCCTGCGCTGTCGATATCGAATCCATCTACCTGAATGTGGATGGGGACTTTCAGCCGTTCCCCGCGTCGCTCTCTCTGCGGCCGAATACCTACTCTCATCTGCTCACGCTCTCTGGCTTGCCGCGGTCGCCGGGGGTGATTACGGTCCTGGGCTGTTTCCTGCAGTCGTTCGGGGTTCTTACGGACCATCGATTCGCCGACACGACGATCACGACCGTTGCTGCGGCGGCAGGGAGTGCGGGGTCGGGAGCAGGGCTGCCGTTGATTCCGGGCGTGGGTCTGGTGGATCCTTTTTCGCCCGCTGCTGCTGCGTCTGTGGCTGCTAATTCCGCTGCAGCAGCTGCTACAGCCACTCCTCTATCCGCCCCCACTATCTCTGCCACCTCCTCTCTCTCTGCAGCGGCAGCGAGTGTCGACACTGCGGTTAAGAGCGGTGCCAGCGCTGGGCGGGGATTCTTGGCCTCCTCTCCCATCCCGTCCACCTCCGTCCTGCCCGTGCTCGATATTTCTGTGCTGCCCGAGCTTCCGCTATTGGTCGCCACGGCGGAGGACGGCGACGGGGCAGCCGCGGTTCTTTTTGACGGGGAGGTCCGGGAAATTTCGGTCAAGCTGGTAAATTCCAGTCGAGTGCCCGTAGTAGACGCATTTGTTTCTGTTGCAGGCAGGCAAAAGCGGCACCTGATCGTTCTCGGGCAGGAAAAACTTGCAGCAGCGCTGCCCCTGCTTCCGGGAGCTGCAGTCACCCTGCCCGTGAAAATCGTGGCCCAGTTCCAGCCAGAGAGTTCGGAGGACGACGAGGATGATGTGGGAGGGGGGGAGGGCGGAGGGGGGGCAGATCAGAGCACGAGCAGCAAGGAGGAAGACACAGTGAACCTGGTCGTGCATTATGCAGGCCCCGACAAAGATCCCGAGAGTGATCCCGCCACCCCAGCAGCACCAACCCCTGCCTCCAAATCTGGAGCTACCAGTAAGGAGAAGGGGAAGGAGAAGGAGAAGGGGAAGGAGAAGGAGAAGGGGAAGGAGAAGGAGAAGGGGAAGGAGAAGGAGAAGGAGAAGGGGAAGGAGAAGGGGAAGGACGATGCGGTGCCCGGGCGGCGGCTGTCGTTCCCCATCAACCTGTGTGTGCGGCGCGGCCTGTCCCTTGTGCGTGCCCGTCTGCTCGTCACGGGAGGCGTCACTCCCGCCGTGCAGTCCGATGGGGGGGTCGCCACCACCTCTGCTGCCGGTGGCGGTGCTGCTGGTGGTGCTGCCAACCTTGCTGCGTCTGGCCGTGGTGGTGGGGCTGGGGCAGGCTTGACGTGGGGTTCCCAGGCAAAAGGGTTAGGAGCGACGGGGGGAGGAGCAGGAGTGAGGAAGGCAGTGGGAGAGATGGAGGTGCCGGTGAGGCAGGCCAAGGGACTGAGGCTGCTGGATCTGGAGGTGTGGAACGGCACTGACTCTGCCTTTGATGTCTCCGTGCTCGTTGACCCCCCCGCCCCCCACGACCAACCCAGCACTCCCGCTGGTGCTGCTGGTGCTACCGCCACTGGCACAGCTACAGGAGGAGCAACAAACGCAGCGCCGGCAGCATCAGCAGCATCGGCAGCTTCAGGGTCTTTGCTTGCCGCCAGTCTACTCCCCCCCGCATCCAACCTTCAGGCCTCTCTAGAGGAAGCTTCCCTCCTCGCCTCGGGCGGCTCCGTCTCACACTCCCGCATCGGACGAGACTGCGCCGCCCGCCTGCTCATCCCGCTCGGCGGATTCGATTCCCTCCTGGGCTCCGAGGCGGAGGCCGCCCTGGCAGTACTCCACCACGAGGAGCAGACGGGCGGCGACACCACTGTGCGGCGCCAGCTGGCACTGGGCCTCGGGCCAATCCCGTCGCCGTTCACAACCATCATCAACGCGATATGCTCGCGGGTGAAGGTGCGGTGGCTGTCTGCAAGGAACTGCCGCGGGGAGGTGAGGATTAGAGAGGCGGTGCGGGCGGTGGTGGAGAGTCAGGCTGTGGCAGTGCTGCTGCCTGATCCTCTAGCGTTTTCATTCCGAGTCACTGCTCCTCCTCTCACTGCTGCTGCTGCTGCTGGGGTTGGAAGTGCTGGGAGCGGTGGCAATGAGCGGAGGGAAACGTCAGGGCTAGCGGCTGGTGATGGTGGTGCTGCGAGGGAAGGAGGGAGTGGGGTAGGGGGAGCTGCAAACGCGGATGGAGGAGGGGCAGGAGGAGGAGGGGGGGCGGGGTTCAGTGTGACGAGTGCGTTGGAGTTCACAACAGTGGAGCTGACAGTGACCAATCAGAGCAAGGGCAAGCTGGCCGTGAGCGTGAGCGTGACGTGTCGCGACGTGACTGGCGAGACGTGCGTGGGGGAGGCCACTCAGAAGCAGCACGTCATGTGGGCAGGTGGGTTGTACATACTGCACTGCTGCTGCATTCCACTCCATTCAACTGCCCATGCTCCATGATCTCCTGCACACGACCATGCAGCTGCCTGTGTGCATTGCCACGTGCTCTGCATCACATCCCCGTGCTGCTTCCACACACACACTCCCCACCCACTCCTTGCCATCCGTCCCACCCACGCACACCCCACCTCACAGGCACACTAAACGGCATCGATGCCACATTGGACCCTGGCCAGTCGCTGCACCACAAGCTGAGCCTGTGCTTCCTCGTGCCCGGCGAGTACACACTCTTCGCAGCAGCAGTGGTGGACAACCAGGGCCCCTCGCCCACCTCCCTCCTCGCCTCACACGCACAGCTAGCGGGGCGAGCGGGGCACACGCAGAACCCCAACCCATGGTGGGCCGTGCTGGATGCTAGCCGGCGCCCACAGACCATCTGCTGCACCAGCCTGCCGCATGCCATCACTGTGCTCGGCGCTGCGTAGGGCGGGCTTGTAGCAACATGTATGTCATGGTTTCTGAGGCACCTCAAAAGTCGCCCGCAGACCGTCTGCTGAACCAGTCTGCCGCATTTTTGGTGCCGCTTAGGGCAGGCTTGTACCGTAAGATGATGTACGGTATGAGTTGATATGAGAACTTTATTATTTGAGCACATTGGTGGTGAGTTTCATCCACAAACAACCCCATCGTTTTATTGAAGGTCTTGAAACAACATGCAAAGATGCCCAGTGACAGCATTTTCCCGTGGATTGTCGGGAGAGATGGCATTCTAGCCAGGCCTCTCGTTATCAGGGTAAAATACCCTTTTTGCACTGACTGGCGGCCGCTTTTTTTCAGTTACCCTTTCACAGGCAGGGTAGTGGATTTTTTACCCTAGGCCAGAAAGTGTAAGTTTTTCAATACCCTTTGAAAAACAGCATAAGGAACACACTACTCTGACTGTACAGTGTTCAATCCAAGCTATACTGGTACTAAGTGCTCCGTAGCGAGACGAAACACTATACAGGTCCCTGCAAAACGATACCTCTAGCGAGATATGAACTTGCAACTTTACAGATCTAATGCGCGATTGACCAGCTAAACTACTAGCCATTGATCTTGAGTGCTTCGGGACTTATAGTAATCACAAGTTTTCAAGAATACCCTGCCCAAACAGACTAACTGTTTTTTTACCCTGCATTTGTCAGGGAAACAAAAACAAGAGGCGACGAAATCGTCTTAGGGTTGCGAAGCATTTTACATAACGATATGTACACAAATTTTTACATTTTACATAACGACATGTACACAATTTTCTACAAGTGCGAATACTTTAATAAAAACCTGTGGTAATTGACATATATAGCAAGACTCGAAAAAGCAGCTTCAGCAGGATTCGAACCTACCTCCTTCATACCCAACGCCTTTACCCTACCGACTGCACTAGCGCTACTGCACAGAAAAGCAACATTGATTTGATAAGTACATGACATAACGACGAATCTGACACTTTGTTAGGTTGGCTCTTCCTTTCATTCTCCCTCCCTTCCGCTCGCTGGTTTAGCTCCCCGCTACTCACGCCCCACCTACCCGTTCCTACTAAGGTGAGAACAACTCTACCTTACCGTTTCAAGTAGAATTAAGTTACCTGATTTCTAGCGAGACTAGCATGCGTTAATCTCGTACCATAGTTGTTTACTCTTGTGTTGGCCGCGTTTTAAAAAAATAGTTTGATTAAGCCTATGTTCTAGGTTCTAGGTATTCGTTTTCTCTTTCTCTTTTCTTCTCGCCAGTGGAGCTTGTTCTTTTGCCTCACGCTACTTACGCTCCACCTACCACTCCAATGTCAGAAAGTTTAAGATGTCATTTAGAGTTGTTAGCTCATGGTAAGATGTAAGCTCTTATTGTCGTCATTTACTTCCTATTCTTAGTTAGCCCTCCCTTTCCTACTTCCTCTCGTTCTGCTGACGGGCTACGGGACTTCCGCTAGGTAAGCTCCTAACTTGCAACTTAAACGCGTTCGATACTTGTTAGGTCGACTTAATTCTAACACAGGACGGCTTAGATCTAAACTAGGTCGGCTTAGATCTTGTTTTTACACATGTTTTTTTTCGAAATCGTAGAAATCGTAATTTATTGAACTCTCTCTCTATCTCTCGTTCGTTCTCGCTCGTTCTCTCTCTCGTTCTCTCTCTCTCGTCCTCGTTCTCTCGTTCTCTCTCTCTCGTTCTCGTTTTCTCTCTCGTTCTCTCCCTCTCTCTCATTCTCTCTCTCTCTCTCTCTCTCTCTCTCTCTCTCTCTCTCTCTCTCTCTCTCTCTCTCTCTCTCTCTCTCTCTCTCTCTCTCTCTCTCTCTCGTCCTCTCTCTCGTCCCCTCTCTCTCGTCCCCTCTCTCTAGTCCTCTCTCGCTCCTGCTCTCGCTCTCGCTCTTCGTTTTCTCGCTCTCTGTATTCGTTATATTCTCTTCTTTCGTTTACTGTCTCGGTATTTTGTTCCTCTATTCCCGTTCCTTATTTTCGTTTTATGCCTCGTCAGATTCTTCTCCATGCTCTTTGTCAAGTCTAACCATTCAATGCTCACGGCGTTTTTCTTAGCCCTTGTATTGATTCATTTGTTTCTTCGTTATTCCTGTTTCTCTTCATTTCATCACACCTTATGCCTTTTTTCTGTTTTGTTTGTTGTACCGGCTATTCATTTCCGTTCCTCCTTTCCACTTCCTAAACCCGTTTGTCAGGGGCCTTTCCGGTCAGGAACGCGATTTCAATCCAGAAAATGTGTATTGGTCACTAGGATTTATCGTATTGTCCTTTTAACATTGATTTACTTGTTATGTAGTTCGCGTGTATCTCGTGTTTTTTGGCTGGGTTTGCCGGAGCTCGTGTTTTTTATTGTGTGAATGTGTTTGTTCGTGTGAGTGCATTCATCTCATCTGTCATTGCAATATCAATGCATGTCTGTCAATTTTGAAAAGAGGGTTCATTTCTATCATTTCTAATTGGTTCATTGGCGCACTCAGTGACTCGTGTGTTTGCCACTTCGAACTGGATTTGATAGAGTGAACCTCTTTTTTAGAGTTGACAGATTGTATTTTTTCATGTGCTAGTTGATTATTCAAAGATTTTGCTATTGACCTCCCCCCCATGCTAGGCAGGGGATGGCGATAGCTTAGTTTTTGGGTTGTTAACTGTCACGCATTTTATCATGTGCATGTGCATCATTCATCACATATCACATGCATTATATACATCATTGTATGCATTATGCATTGTATAGCATCATTTATGCATTAAGCATGCACCTCTTCATCATTACACAACATCATCTAACAGTAACATATAATGCAAACAGTACAGCAAATCTCCACTAAACAATTGCAAAATATTCATATGGAATAATGCACTATGAACAGTACCGTATTCAAAACTGCTCAACATGCATACAGTTTGGGAAGGGTAGTACTGTAGTTGACAAAATTTATTTTCATGATTTTTTTAAAAAATATAAACATGAAAATAAAATTTGGCAAAATCGATCGTAAAGGGTTGCTTCGCAACCCAAAAATTACCCTACGCATCAGGGTTGACTATACCTAGAACCCTGATTACTAAGGGTGGCCCAAAACGAATCTGAAGCCCTGATTCTAGCCCATACGCATGCAGACACAGGTGATAGTGGGCATTCCTCCTTTGTGAATCGGACTGAGGAAGACATACTGCACCAACTTTTTATTACCAGAGGCAGCTACAGCTGTTGACATGACATACGGTAGACCAGTTCTCTGCACGCAGGCGCAGCTTAGCACCATGGCGCCACAGTAGCAAATGCTCTATGTGGCAGTGGAGTGGATGCAGCTGGCTGACCGTAGTACAGCTAGGACCGGTTCATTCCCAGTGCACTGATATGAGGCCGTAGGAACACGCTCTAACATCACAGTTCCCCTTGCGAGGAACACGATACAATCAGTACGAGTGGACGCGGCGCACACGCCCCTCACAGCCACCTCAAGCTGAGCATGCCTGCACACGGAGGGAACAGAGAGCAACAAGGGGTGGTTGTGCTTTCAAACCGGCGCATCACAGACCAAAACATCGCAAGACACATGACAGCAGGGGCAACACAAGTCATACGTGCATCAACTCCCCACGCCGAACGAAACCAACAGCAGGCCAGCAGCTGGGGACATGAACAGCACACCAACATCAGCCTCACATTGTACCTGCCGCAGTGATGGCACGTTGAACTCGCCGAGGCGACACTCGCGTCAAGTGGCAGGGGCGCTCATGCGCGGCCCCATGAAGGTCATGAAGAGCTCGCGGAAGAGCTGACGGTTCTTCTCCTGCTCCTCCACAAACCGCTTCTGCCACTCCTCGTTGCTCTCCCTCACCACTCGAATCACCTCGTCCAGCTTCTGCTCCAATGCACTGCTACTTATACCGCCCCCACCACCACCAGTCGTAACACCTGCCAAGCTCCCTCCATTCGTGCTGGCCTGCCCGCCGAATGCACTACCTGGGAAAGGCATCCCCCCTGGTATGTTCCCCGGGGTGGGAAAGCCGTCCTGCCCCATGCTGCCGTCCCCTGCCGGACTCACCAGCTGCCCCCAGAACCCTCCTTGCGGGACAGCCGCGCCCGCTGCTCCGCCGCCCCCGTTTCCACCACCAGCTCCGCCGCCGCCGCCACTGCCGCCACCCGCGCCCAGATTCCCCGGAGGTCCTGCGCCCTGGGGGGAGAGCAGGGCAGCGGAAACGCCTCCCGGAGGCGCCACCCCGGGGGGAGCAGGCGGGCGGAAGCTGGAGGAGGTGGCGGAGAAGCTGTGGGGGAAGACACCTGGCGCGAAGAAAGTGCCGGGGGGGAAGAAGCCGGGGGGCGGAGGCGGTAAGAAGCCTGGAGGGGATGTGAGGATGTGCGGGGGAGGCGGCATGGCGCCGTTAATTGCGCCGCTCATGGCGCCGGGGTTGACGATGCCGACCAGCCCAGTCGCAGAGCTGTTCGCAGCGCCGTTCGCAGCCTCGCTTCGCATCGCGTTCTCACCGCCCGCCCCACTCGCACCGCCCGCGCCCGTCGCATTCGGCTGGCTGTTCACCGACGCGCTAGGCGGCAGCAGCATGGAATTGCTCCCGCCCGCCCCTTTTGTCGTTTTCCAGCCCGTACCGTCTGCGACGGACTGTCTGCGGACGAGCCCTTCGCCAGGCGCGTCGCTTCGCGAAGGGCTGTCGCGAGGGGAGGAGGGGGGGCTAGGGCTGTCTGGGAGAAGGCTTTCGGCGCAGGGAAAACAACCGAGCGACTCGCTCAAGTAACGGTCGATCCACTTGAACCACTTGGGCTTCAGCACCAGGTGCGCGTTTGCTCCTTCCCCGTTCTCCGCCGACGCGTCGCCCGGCTCGCGCTCCCTTACACGCTCCTTAATAACCCTATACTTCCGCTCCATTCGGTGCAGTTTCAACTTAATCGCCTCGAACGGCCGGTCGAACGACGGCTCCTTAGTCGACCTAATGTATTCTTTCAGCCGTCCGTAGAAGCTCCCTTGCTGCCCAGCTGGCCGCTTCTTATACTCGTCGTGGAGTTCGAACCGCGCGCGGGCTACTAAAACCTGCTCGCGCTCGCTCCACCGCTCGTAATCTTTTGTCGAAGCTTCTTTCGCCGGGGCACCGCCATCCCCATTCGCGTCTGCTGCTGCACCTGCTGCTCCTCCTGACAGGTCCCCATCTTTCAATCCCCCTTTCTTGCGTGACCCCTTCTTCTTCTTCACGTTTAATTCCGTATCTTGTTCCAGCGAGTCTTCAGCCGCCAAAGCTGCCTCCGAATCTCTCTTCCGTTTCGCTGACGGCGTTCTGTCAAGTTGCTGTAATTGCGATCCGTCCAGTCCGTCAGACGGGCTTTCCGGTGGGGGAGGATACGCCGGCTGAATCGGTCCGACCGTCTGCGAAAACGGTCTGAAAGACGACGGAAGCGTTTGCTGATCCGAACCATCCGGGCGTCCACCGTCTCTCCATGCTTCTCTCGCCGCCTGCCTCTCCTCCTCCATCTTCTCCTCCATGTAAAGACTCAGCCATTTCCACCACAGCGGCTTCTGAACGGCAACGGCACCAGGTTGCGCTTCCTGCTCGAGAATATCCCGATACTTGCGCTCCAGGCGGTGGATTTTAACCTTCACCGCGTCGACGGGTCGATCCCAGGCAGGATCCCAAGATTTCACCTGAGCCCACACTTTCAGCCAGAAACTGGAGCCCTGCTTCCCTACGAGCTCCTTGTAATCGCCTCTTAACTCGTATCTCGCCTTAGCGATTAGTTCCTCCTCGTCCTCGGACCAGCGGTAACCTGGCGCGTCACGACTAGACCGTGTGCTAGAGGATTTCTCATACGCAGGAGGACCGGGATTGTTTTCTGATACTGGAAGATTGTTCCCATGTCCACCGACTCTTCCGTCTGAACCCGACATGTCTGCACTGCAACCCGCAAGTACTTGCTGGTGAGAAAAAGCGACTGAACGACGGACGGCTGGGGTGCTACTGTGAAACGAGGGGTTCGTTCGTTCTACTGCAGGCTATGGCGTGGCGAGATGAAGCGGAAAGGGATGTGTTGCTGACTGCTGCGATGAAACCCTAGAAAGCGTCTGCTTGCAGAAGAACCCCAAGCGAGGAGGTGGTGGTGGTGTGCCCGAGCGCGGAGTGAGCAGGCAAGGGCGTTGGAGGGCCGAAAGGCTGATGTGGTGAAACCCTCACACGATACGGGCTGGGTACGAATGAACGGTCGGATTCTTTGGATCTTGTTGCTGGGGGAATCTGTGTGTGGAGAACGGTGAGGGTGGCGGTATGGGGTCAAGCCAAGGTCGAAGCGGATTGGCTGATTGCTTGGCAGGAGGTGGTTCGTCCGCTAGGCTCCAGCGTGGCTTTGATGAGAGGAGGCGTACGGTCCCTCAGTGGTTTTGGGGGCACTGACGTGTCGGTTCGATATCTCCAGCCCCGTACACATGCTTTGAAGTCTGCATTGCGAGAACGTGTATAGCGTATTGCATGGTGTATATTAGTGTGTGCTTCCAATGAAGATAAAACTGTTCTTGTGAACATAAGTTGCTCTTTATACAGAAACATGAAGCACATCGATTTCCCAGAAGTGTCTGCTCGACCCATGTCAGCCAACTTATCTTTTAGATTTTCGTTTCACTCTGATCGTTCCGTTTTGTACCTCGCTCACGAATCGCAAAAGCCTCTCCTAGCACCTTAGGAATCTTCGCCGCATATTTGCGCGCCATCCGCCATGTTCAAGAAGTCGAGCAAGCCGAAGAACGTGCGGAAGCGGCAGCTGCTGAGCGAGGACCAGGACCGGGACAGCAGCAGCAGCGGCGGGGGCGACGAGGACGCGTCAGCAGGCGGGAATGGCCCGCCTAAGTCGAAGAGTGCGCGCCGAGCCGAGGGCAAGCTCGCCTTCAGCTCCGCCTCCTCTCAGCAGCGCGCAGCGCGCGCCGCAGCGGCGGAAGCGGGGGCGGACGGCGCCGCGGAGGGTCCCGCGAAGCCAGCAGTCAGCTTCGCGTACGAGTCGGACCGACGCGTGCAGGTAAAGGGCGTGCCTCGAGACGCGCTAGTTTTGAGGTCTGTTCACGTCCATGGATTGTGCCCCTGGCATCGTGGACCTGAATTCCCCCCCCCTATCATCCAGCTCTCCCGCTAGAATCGTAGACCTCAATTCCCTCCCTTCCCTTCCCCTTGTGCGCCCGACGGACAGCTGCGCTAAGGCACTTTTGAATTCTCAACAGCTTTTCCTCTCTTCCCTTTCCCCTCATCTTTCCTCTCCTTCCCCTGCAGATGGCATCGGACAGCCGTGCGACGGCGACAATAGAGACGGAGACGGAGTTTGACCGCGACTCGCGCGCCATCCGCGAGAAGGTGCTGAAGCAGGCGGAGGAGGCGCTCAAGGGCAGGGCGCGCGAGGGGGGCTCCGCTGCTGCTGGCCCCGCAGGCCCGCCGGGGAGCAAGAAGGAGGTTTACAAGGGCATGGCTGGGTGAGTTTAGCTGGTGTGTTAGGGCATGGCGTGGGATGACATGGCATGGGAGAGAGCATACAGTTGATGGAATGAGCATGGTAATTCGTACATTCAGTCTTTGTTGTGTCGCCTCACCATCCCCTCGTCTCCATCCACTGGCCCCTCCCCTCCCTCCTCTCACACAACTCCTCAGCTACGCAGACCACACGGCAGGCTTCAGGCGAGAGCACACAGTGGCGAGTGAGAAGGCAACGGGTGCGCACGGGCCCCTGCGTGCCTCCACACACATCCGATGGTCCGTGCGCTTTGACTACCAGCCGGACCTCTGTAAAGACTATAAAGAGACTGGCTATTGCGGGTATGGGGACTCGTGCAAGTTTTTGCATGATCGTGGAGATTACAAGGCGGGGTGGCAGATTGAGAGGGAGTGGCAGGAGAAGGAGAAGAGGAGGAAAGAGGCGGCTGCACTGGGGATGTTGGAGGAAGGGGATGGGGGAGAAGGGGAGGAGGAGGAAGATGATGATGACGATCTGCCGTTTGCGTGCTTCATCTGTCGGCAGTCGTTTGTGGATCCGGTGGTTACGAAGTGCCGGCATTACTTCTGCGAGCACTGCGCCCTCAAGGTGAGATAATGCGAGATTTTATTTGCTGAGTAAGCAGCGACTTGTTTTCCGTACAGACTCTTCGCAGCCAACTCATCCTGATCATTTTCCACTTGCCTTTTCCCACGCCCACATGGACCTGTTGGCAGCACCACTCGCGCAACAAGAACTGCTTTGTGTGCGAGCAGCCGACCCAGGGTGTGTTCAACACGGCACATGACATCATCAAGCGTGTGAAAGAGCGGGCTGCCAAGGAGGCCAAGGACAAGGAGGAGGTTGCCAAGGGAGCGGGGAGCTCCAGACCAGAAGCTGCTGGTGGTGATGGTGGGGATAGTGGTGAATGATGGTTGACAAAAACATGGAAGGGTTTTTTGCTTGCACAAGAGATGCAATTCCTTGTTGAAGGAAATTGCTGGTTGAGAAGTTTGTAGAAAGCCTTAATCACAAAGAGAGGTATTTGCGCTGTTTGATCAACAGAAGGATGGCTGCATTCACATAAAATCTAGTTAGAATTGTAGTCCTGCTGTAGCGTGGACAGTGTACTTCCACATTGAGCCGGTCAAGTATTCGGTTGAATTTTAGTAGAGAAGCTCTTACAGGGTACACCCCAACCTCAGAGCCGAGCCACATTGCTGGTTGCCTATCTCCTCGGCACTCGCGCGACCAGCCTGTCAGAAGCAGGACAGGCATCCCCTTGATTGTAGGATTCTTTCTCCGTAGACCGGCCTCCATACAGTTCCATGGAGGTTCTCCGCGTCGCTCGTCCTCACGCCAGCCTGATCGGCCCGTCCCTGCATTCGTCGACCGCTCGACCGACGCCCTCTCGAGCCTCTCGACCGTCTGACTTCTCTCTCCCGCGCGCTCTCACGAGAACGTTACCGCGAGTCACGTGTGGCGTACAGGAACCAGGGGTAGTGAAACATGCAGCTTCCGCAAATTCAGGCGGATTTTCTGCAGCCGACGAGATCGCAAGTGTAGAAGCCGTTGTTACGCCGACCAGGCTTGATAGACGAGCGTTCGTGGCAACTTCGCTCATTTTTTCTCTGTCGTTGAATGTCCAGAACGCTTTTTCTGAAGGTATTGTTTCAATGCCACCAATGATGGTTTTCGTGCTGACCGTTGCAGCATAGAAGCACACGCAAGGATTGTCACAGCGTTTGGCACAAGACGCCCTGGTTACTCGCCGCACACTATCGTCACTTACCCATTGTCACCATATCCCATGCCTACGCCGCTCCCATACTCCAGAGAACCTGCAAGCAGAGGAACCCCAAGCAGAGGGTCTTCGGCAGTACGAGGACGAGGCGAGGCGGTTCTCCATCCGGGTGCCGGCGGCGTGGGAGCAGCGCGACAAGGCGGGCGCGACGGCGCTCTTCGCGAACCCCGAGCGGCGCGGCGACACCCTGGGCGTGGTGGTGAACCCCGTGCGCGTGCGATCCCTGCGCGACTTTGGTGACATTGACTACGTGGCGACCAGACTGCTGGACGCAGAGCGACGCAAGGTGCGGCTTCAGGCTTCATGTTGATGTGCAGAGTCTGAAATGAGCTTGAATGAGCTAAATTGAGCTCATTACAGACTTCGGCAACATTGACTTGGTGGTGTCCAGACTGCTGGACGCGGAGCGAGCGACGCAAGGTGAGGCTTCAGGTTTAATGGCTGAGTCTTGGAATGTGGGCTCTCAGAGGACCTCATATCAGACTGTGGCGACATTGACCTAACGGGCTGTACATTAAGATTAATGGCTTCATCCTCATTCACTTACCTTTTTGTTTGTCTTCCCCCTTTCCTGGCACATTCCCTCCTGGTAACCTCGTTGTAACCATGTGGTAACCACGTGCAGGAGAGCACCAAGAGCGCGGAGATCTTGTCGCAGAGAGTGAAAGAGCTAGCGGGAGGTATCCCGCTGTACCAGATAGAGTACGCACTCGCCAGCACCAGAGGCAGCAAGCGGATTCTAACGGCAGTGACTATAGCAGATAGGAAGCTGTACATTGTGAACATTGCAGTGGCGGATTCGGAGAGTGAGCCCGTGGATCTCGCCACCCTGGGAATGCTCCGCAGAGCTCTGGACTCGTTTGCCCTTCTGAGCTGAGGAATCTGGTGATGCTGTATCGTGTCTTGTGCTCTTGTGTTCCCTGACTGCAAGCGAAAGAAGGCATGCAGGAAAATTCTCGCCTGCTCCCGACTAATGCGTGCCACACGATGCCATGCAATGTACATTGAAACGAATCCCTGGACCATGAGGGGTAACCAGAAGTGGAATCGTGTTCCCTGGCCTGGCATGTGCTGGCATGTTCTCAGGCAAGCTGGTGTGGTGGTATGGCTGGCAGCAAACCACAACACACTTTCGCTTCGTGCTGTTTGCTTGATAACGTATAATCCCTGTCATGTTGGAGGCAGCAGGATACATGCCAATACTGTATGTCACTCACCTCAACACCATGGGTAGAATGCTCTGCAGAGCTCTGGATTGGTTTGCCCTGCTCAACTGAGAAACATGTTGACGCTGTATTGTCTTGTGCACTTGTGTGACTGACTATAACCGGACGCATTCAGGGTAATGGCTGGTGCACCACATGGTGCATATTGGAAACCTCTTCCTGAACCAGAGCGAATTACCATGAGAGGAGTCATGGTAGCATTCCTACACAGCATGGGAGCAATGCACGCTCAGGTTATGCTCCTGCTGTTTACCGGTCTTCAAGGATCCCTCCCTCCTCTCCCTTCTCGTGCTGCTTATAGTCCTTGGCAAAATGCCACTCACTAGAGCCATGGGCGAGATGTTAGGGCAGGGCCACAGCATGTTTCACTCACGGTAATTGCAACACACACAGCATGTCATTTGAAACAAGCTCTACAATGACAATACCTAGGTAGTCCTATGGTGGAGACAGCTTGAGCATCACTGAGCCGCATGAAAGAGGTCCCTGCTGTCGTCTTCAGCTGCACTTGACACATCTCCCTTCTCTTGCCTAGCAGATGCAGCACCGCTGGCACCACCAGAGCCAGCACCTGAATTCATGCCGGCACCATTATCGCGAGCCTCGGCCCAGGACTCGGACCTCTTTACAAGCACGTTCTCCTCCCCCAGGCCCCCATAGAGCCCCTGCTGCTTGGGTGATTTGACCCGCTCCATGTACCACTTCATTCTGTCCGCCACACTCACCTTGCTGCTTGGCGATGCAACCGATGGCGACGGGCGGGCAGAGGGGGTTGGAGATGATACTGCCTGCAGTGCTGGTGATGGTGATGCTGCTACCGACAACCCTGATTGGCTGGACTGTGCTGCTGCTGAAGTGGATGCTGACATGGATGCTGACGTGGATCCTGGCGAGCCACCTCCCGCAGCAGTGTTCTTGGTGCGCACGCGTGGAATCACCACGGTCTGCACGAGAGAGTCGAAGCGACCCATGAGGCTGCCCCCTTCCTTCACCCCCACAGGCCCCGGCTCTGCCCCCACATGGGCGCCATCGGAGAACCCCACCACCTCCACCAGCAGCCCGCCCTGCTCGTCTCGGAACTTCACCCGCGCTCTTCTCGCTCTAGACGCTGCCTCACTTGTTGACAAAGCGGCGTGAGGCTTGCTTGAGCCGCCCGCTGCTGCTGTTGAAGGCGCTCCTACTTTGTGCTTCTTTCCAGTTGGCTCCTCGTCGTTTGCCTTCCCATTCCTCCCTTCACCTGCTTTATCAGCCCCTCTCTCATCCCCGCCCTTCCCTCCTTCTGCTGCTGCTTCCACCTCCCCTCCCTCCTCCCCCCCTCCTTCTTCCCTCTTTCTCTTCCTCTCTCTCTCCACGGCTCGTCTGGACGGACCAGCGCCGGTATTCCCAAGGTTGTAATCCCCAGCGGGCAACCCAAGCAGATTCAGCACCATGTTGTACTGTGCAACTGCCTCTGGGTCGCCCTTATCCGGGGGAGGTGGCAACTGCTGCTGCTCCTGCTGATGTTCTCTCACTCCCGGCCAGGCTGTAACAGCAGCTGTAGCCGCGAAATGCGCTTCGTCTGAACTGGCAAGATCAGTAGCTGCTGCTGCAGATGGCAACGGTGATGGCGGTGGGGGCTGCGGGATTGTCTTGCGCAGCACGTACGTGCGTGTGGAGGCGGCAAAGCGGAGAGATTGGCCGGGCTCTATCTCAACAGGGATATCCTTTAAGAGGCGCTCGTTAGAGACATAAGTGCCGTGAACCGAGCTGCGAACAGGGAAAAAACAGGAGTGTTAAAGCATGCTGAAGGGGTTCAGAACGGTGCAGTACAGTACGCACCCCAGGTCAATGACAAAGACGCTGCCGTTCTTCCTGTGCACCACTGCAGCGTGCTGGCGGGAGAGGGAGGGATGCTCCAGCACATAGTCGCACGTGGTGGTTTGCCGCCCAAACAGAGACCGCTTCTTGTCCAATGGTATGCTGCCAGCTGAGACTCCATCCTGCCGCATTACACAAATGAACACATCCGAGACAAGAACACGATATAATTCACACCCCAAACAGGATGGTATCCCTCCCAGTGGATTGTCATTTTGAGTTACACATTCCAAATCGAAAGTACTTGATTCTCTGGATGTTGCCTCTATCGCTGAGGGAGAATATTCACCTTGAGAACTTCCAGCGAGTACACGCCTGGTTTTGGAACCACAGCCCACTCCGGAGGCTGCCATGTGGAGGATCCTCCGCCAATGGTGATCGCAACCACTTGCTCCTGCTCCTGCTGCTGTTGCGGCTGCTGCTGTTGCTGCTGCTTCTGCTGCTGCTGCTGCTGCTGATTCGCATGCGTCTGTGCGGCATGTTCCTGCGATTTGGTAACAGGCGATCGGATGGGCTGAGTTGACGAGGCATAGATGACGGTACCTGTCGCACGGCCTGCTGCGACAGCCGTTGTCTGCGACGCAACGGACGACTTTTCGGGAATGGCTCCGCGAGTCTCCCCAATTCCGAAAGGGTCTGACGACTGCGCTTTCTTAAACCGGTCGAGATTAAATCGGTTGAACATGACCGTCGCTTGGATCGTAGTGCGCGGCGAGGTACTGGCCGGAAAATAGCCAAAGATAAAAGCACCAAGAAGCAGGGAAAGGTATTCTGCAAGGTTCAGGCAAACTATGGCTGGAACATTTTTTGCTGGAGCATGTTCAGCCAAGAAGCGTGGTTTGGAGAAACAATTCTCAAGGAACACTCGGCTATACGCGTTAAAGAAAATATCAACGTGTATGTTATCAGAGAGATGTATTTATCAGCTTCCACACAACAGCTCACTTCTGTTTGGATCACATGTTTGCGGTGATCCCTTGAGTTCATCTCCCCTCTCCTGGGAAAGCCGAGGCGAACTCAACAAAATGATCCCAGAATGCCATTCCCACTGCATTCCATGATCGCCTGACAGCCTCTCCGTATCGCCTCGCCGTCGCCTCGTCACCTTGATGTGGACGGGGTCTGCAGCCAGCAGCTGCGTCGCGGTAGCGCGATTCAGTGTCCCGCTCACTCCGCTCCGTTCGCTTAGCTCGCTTCGATCGCTTAGCCAACTTAGGTCCCGCTGTGTCGTGGCGGCCATACCGTCACCTCGCACGTTCGACGGCGGTGTGTGCCACGATAACCGTCCCTCTTCGGTGGCGAATTCACCCGCATTAGCGCGTACGGTCCCTATGGCTGTCCACGTCAGCGCGCATCGTCCGTTGGTCGGCGTCAGCAGCGGCCTTAACGCTCATCGGCGCGCTTTCGGCGTGCGAATCCCCGTTAGTAGCTCTTCCTCGTCTGCATTTATCGGGAACGGCGGGATTATGCGGGGTGTGGCCGGCAATGACCGCGAAATGGTCGACAGAAACGGCGGATTTCGACGAGCGATGCTGATCGCGGCGTCATTGATGGGAGGCGGAGCTGCTGCTGCTGGCACCGCTGCTGCCTCCAATGCGGCCATGGCGGAAGGTGAGCGATCAGGCAGGACCGCTATCTTAGGCCCGTGTGTGTGTCTCTTTCAACCATACACGCCTGCAAGTGAGCGCAGCGGTGATGTCACTATCCCTGACTTCATTTCCCACCCATGATTCCTTCCCTTTTTCCCACCCCATCGCTCCTCCCTCCAATCATCCCTTCTCTTCCCCCGCTTTATTCGTTTCCAGATCTCACTGCTTCATCTGGACCCACATTGGCGTCAGCAACAGAATCAGACTCAGAATCGGATCTCAACTCAGGATACGCTCTGCCGCCAGCGGAGATCCTGTCCATCGTGGATGCGCCGCCCAATCCCGCGCTGTCGTTTAGTCCGAAGCGGGAGAGGGTACTGTTCATGCACCGACCTTCGCTGCCGCCCATTTCCGAGCTGGCTCGGCCGGAGCTGAAGCTGGCTGGGGTGAGGATCGACCCCGAGGCTCACAGCCGCAGCAGAATGTGAGTAACGGCGGCAGCAGAATGTGATTCATGGCGGCAGTTGCACGAGAATCAGAGTTACAGTGGAGTGTGCGTCACAGCAGAAGCATAAAGCGAGGTCTATCGGCAGCGTGTATATGAGTGTGATGCGCCACCGTGCGAGCTGTTGCTGCAGAACAATGTGATTCTTCTCTCTTTAGCCTTGAAGCGCCCTGTGCACCTAATTCCTAACAGTCCATGTGACAACACACCGACCACCCTGTCGCCCCCTCTGCACCAGGTCGTTCTACTCGGGCGTGACCATCCACACAAGAAGCACAGTGCCACGCCTTTGTAACGCCTCTGCTCTCTCCCGCCCCATTGCACCGGCCCCATTGCACCCACCCCTCTGCACCCATCCCATTGCCCCGTCTCTGCACCACCAGGTCGTTCTACACGGGGGTGACCATCCACAGGGTGAATGGCGACGACACACTCGGGGACGCGGTGGACATCACAGGGCTGCCTCCGGGCAGCAAGATCAACTTCCTCTCCTGGTGAGACCAGGGGGGTATGCATCTCTATTGATTGCTATGAGGGGTAGCATAGTGGTTCTAGGAATATTATCTCCTTACCTCCATGGTTACGGGAGGCTGGGGATGGGTTTTTGCTTTTTTGCCTGCGTCATCCCTACCTTCCTTTATACATACATGCATACATGGCGTGGCAGTCAACACATTGCATTGCCCACATGGCATGCCAGACGTCACATCGTCTGCCTGTCCCTCTTCTCCGTGTATCAGGTCACCAGACGGCCAGCACTTGGCGTTCACAGTGCGCGGCGACGGCGAGGAGGTGAGACACTCACAGTATCCTAGTGGAGTGGACCTTGACTGGTGTGTCTCCGTGCCTTGCCTGCTCCTCCGTACTTCCACCTTGCCTGTCTGCTCTTCTCAATCCGTGCCTCCTCTCACCTTCGTCTCCTGCACCCCTCCTTCACCCTTCACCTCCCACCCTTCTTTCCCCACCCTTCTCCCTCCAGGGCGACAATGGCGAGAAGCAGGCAGGCCGCCAGCTGTCACTCTGGGTGGCTGACGTGGCAACAGGCAAGGCGAGGCAGCTGCTGGGGCCGCCGCATGCAGCCATCAACGCTGTCTTCGACTCGTGAGGATCTTTTCTCTGCTATGCTCTTGAGCTATGAACCTGCCGCCCCGTGCTCTGTACCGCATCTGGGCCCACGTCTTCCAGTCGTTTGCTTACATTGCACCTCCCCCAGCTTCACCTCCTCAATGCAACCTGCCCATCCCCATCCCTCTCCATCCTTCCCCACCCCTCCCCTCCCTTCTGCACCCCTCCCAACCCCACAGCTATGCGTGGCTGGACGGCAGCACGCTCATCGCAAGCATCATCCCCCCAGGCCACCCGCCTCTGCCCACGCGCCCTGCCGTCCCCCCCGGGCCCAAGATCTCGGACAACCAGGGGGGCATGGCAGCGCAGTCGCGTACGTTCACGGATCTGCTCAAGGACGAGTTTGACGCCCGCCTGCTGGAGCACTTTGCGCTCTCTCAGATAGTGAAAATTGATATTAATGACCCGGAGGGATCGATGACGCCCATTGGCCCACCGGACATGTACATGTCGGTATGTGCTAGGGGGAAGTGGGGGAGAGACGGGAGGGAGGGACGGGAGGGGAGGGAGAGTGGGAGAGGGAGGGAAGAGGCCTCACGACAGCAAGTACGTGCTAGTTGAGCGCATGTTGCGTCCCTGCGTCCTCGTTGGTATCCAATCCTTCCCCACAGCAGCAGCCAGTCTCACTCCCCACCCTACCTCACCCACACAGGTGGAGCCATCACATGACGGCAAGTACCTGCTGGTGGAGCGCATGTGCCGCCCCTTCTCCTTCGAGGTGCCCTGTGGCCGCTTCCCCCGCCGCGTCGAGGTCTGGCGCAGCGACTCCGGTGACTTGCTGCAGGTGAGTCAGAGGCAGTGAGGGGGGACGTAGTGGGTGCAGTGCAGTGCAGGGTGCTGCAGCAGAGGCCCTGTGGCCGCTTTCTCCGCCGCGTGGAGGTCTGGTGCAGCGGCACCGGTGACGCTGCACCAGTGACATGCTGCAGGTGGGGAGAGGGGGGTTCTGTGAACGCAGAGCAGTGGAGCAGCCTAGCAATGGACGCCGTGTCATCATTCTCCTGTCGCATTGCCGTGCGGCCCGGCGACACAGCAAGATGGTGCCAGTCTAAGTGGAGAAAGACGCACGCGTCCTGCTGCGTCTTGCGTCTGGACGCAGCGTCCAGACGCAGAGACGCAGGACGCGCGTCCAGACGCAGGACGCACCTCGTTTTTATTTTCGGGCTGACCGGAAAAAAAAATTGCCTCAGCGCAAAATTGACTTCAACGATTTCGATGCGACTGTCAATTTCGTGTCATGTCGATCCCCCCTAACCCATTTCGACCATCAAAAACACCCTAGAGGGTTTACCAAGACAATTCTCCTTCGTAAACCTTAAACCCTGGAAATGTAAAGGGGACAAATTTTGCCTCAAATGTGTGCATCGTCGTTCCCCCCCCCCTTCCCATACCCTATAACATCATTTTTCGGCTGCCCGGGGGTTTTTTTGCCCTGCCCGAGCATGCGTCTTTTCATGCGTCCTAAAGGCCCTCCTCTAGCGTCCTGCGTCTAAGACGTTGCGTCTGGACGCAAGCGTCCTAGACGCAGGACACGTCTTTGTCCACTTAGGTGCCAGTGATGTGTAGGACGAGTGCAGCCCGTGAGCCGTCTCCCCCTTGTTTCCCTCCCTTGCCTCCCTGCGTCTCCACTTCTGCCATCTCTCTGCCTTCCTCCCCTAGCTCTGCGTCCTTTTTTGTCTCCACTCTCCTCCAACCTACCCAGCTGCTGCCGTTTCTCCCTCACTTCCTGTTAGGGTGGTTCGCCACTGCCCTAGTGCCTACCGGCTTACGCGCCTAACCTAGGGACGGTAGAACAACACTAGGAACGGTGGGAAACTATCACCTAATATGGGGAACCGGTACCTAGAGCGGTGGGGCTGCATGCTAGGAAGCTAAGAAGGAAAACGTGAAGAAAGCGGGGAGAAACGGAATGACGGAAGACTAGGGTTCGAGAAATGTCGAGAAGACATTTCCGAAGCCTAGAATGTACAACCGAAACCGAACCGTGTTCGATGCGGAAGGGACAAACGGGTTTCGGTTCCGGTGACGGTTACCGAATTCAGTTACGCGTGCGACTCGGGCTGAAACGCAGATGACGCGTTACGCGAGGCGCACATCACATTTCGAAATGCTTAAATGTGTTTGTTTTTTCAATCAGTTTTTTGTACTTCTCTGTTTTGAGTGAAATCAGTCCTGAAAAACCAGAAATTCTCTCCAAGCATTTACTACCTTCAACGCTAGCCGGAGGCTATACCCAAACCAAACTAAGACTTCCGTGACCAAACAGTGGCAAAATCAAATCTCTGTGCCTCTACCAATGTGCCTCTCCTACTGTACTTCCCTCACATTGCACAGCTGGTGGCGGACCTACCGCTGGCGGACAACATCCCAGTGACCTTCAACTCAGTCAGGACGGGCCGCCGCAGCATCAACTGGCGCCCTGACGTGCCCAACTGCCTCTACTGGTGGGTGGGAAGCTACTGCTACGTC